ATGGGAGGAGTTGAAGGGGAGGGAGTGGGCGTGGATTTCATCAAAACACCTTATATGCATGTATGAAATTCTTAATAAATTTTTTTAAGTTAAAAAAAAGCAATTTAAGAACCTTTCTAACATCTAATACCTAATGTGTCTTTAGCTGCTTGACAAATTACTAATGATGCCCCCAAATGAGCTATCTCTCTCTCTAAATCTCTATAAACTAGCCATTCCTTTGCTACAGGCAATACCCAGTCAAATGCTGACCTTCAAATGGTGAGAAGTTAATAACTGTTGGACAGAGGATGAAGAGGATTCAAGGTATCTCCTACTATGTATAGTATAAGATTTGTACTATAAAATGCTAATTTCCTAAATGCTGTTAATACTATTTTGAGGGTTCCTTTTTCATTTCCATGCTGTTTCTCTTCCTCCATACTCACCTCTTAGTGACTCAAACAAGAAGAAATGTGCAGGAGAGAAGGAAAGGAGGTAGTTTACCTGAAGTTTTTTCTGGTCTCTCCATGCAGTATGGAAAATACTGAGCTTTGTAAAAAGAGGGGGAAAGGCTTAAAAGCCCCATTAGAGTATAATAATAATAAATTTTAAAAAGTCCCATAGAGTGTTTATTTATTCACGTATTTATTAAGTACGTATCATGTGTACACACAGTTCTAGGCACTGGGAAAATGACAATTAACAAAGAAGAAAAAAATCCACACTGTCATGAAAATTATATTCTGGTTAAAGTTGAAATATCCCCTACTTCCCAATTATGGACACTGAGCTCAGACATGTAAGCTATGGAAAAGAAATTCAATTTTAAGTGCAACAGGAAGCCACTGACGTATTACAAACAGAGAAGGCACATAAGCTGATTTTGGCCTTTAAAAAAAAAAAAATCACTCCAGTAGCTGCAGAAAGGACAAGCAGTGTGACACAGTGGCTTAGACTAGGATGGTGGCAGAGAAACACAACTACATACACCCTGGAGGCAGTGCTTCCTGCTGGCTCAGATGTGTGGGGCCGAGAATGAAGGAGAGGCTACCCAAGATGAAGAAGTCTGGGGAAAGCAAAAGCGTTCTTGTTTTTGTTTTCCCCTTTGCTTGCTTGCCTTGGCAGAAATACGCAGAGGCCTAGCTAAAGATGTGTTCAAGAACAGTATCCAGAAGGCAACAAAACATGAATCTGCACTTTTCAACAAGACTGGTCAGGACTTGGAGACATACCAGAACGCATATGTATAGACACTTAATGCAGTGAGATTAATGGACCACTTTGACAAGGGTTGCTGGGTACCTCAACATTCAGAAATGAAGCTGAAAAAACAAGAAAAACAAATGAAAAAGAACAGGGTAGGAGAAGGAACTACAGCTTGGGGCTCTGAGCTGAAAGAGGAAAGTGTCTTGAAAAGGGAGAGAGAACAGCACCAAGTGAGGTTGACAAAGCTGTGCCCAGAGCAGATGTGGTAACCCTAAGAACTGTGTAGCATTACTCCATTTACCCCTAGGAAGCAGAAGCCCAGGGGCTCAGCTCCAAGGTTACAGCTAGTAACCAGCAGAGGCACAACAGAACTTAGGGTGGCAAGATCCCCCAGTGTTCTGGAAGAGTAGGCTGACAATGTTTTGCCCTTTCACTTGAATGACATATTGCTATGGCCAATAGCAAGTACAGTTTGATTTTTTTTCGTTTCAAATTATTAAATACTAGATTTAAGAAGAAACTAGTGACTTTTCAGATACCTATTCACTTACTACTTCTCTTCAGTTAGGCAGTTATAATTCAATTCACAAGAACAAAAGTCCTTTACTCAATTTTGAATCCTTGCTTGTGTTATTTAAAAAAAAAAAAAAAAATCCAAGTCACTTTCCATGTGAACTAAGTCATTCATACCTAATTTACTTTTACTGGTTTTCTTTCTCCTCTCTCAATACTTTTAAGTAAGCCATGAATGGAGGTGAAATAGCTAGTCTATATTAAAAAAATCTCCTTTCTTAGGTATGGTGGCGCATGCCTTTAGTCTCAGCACTCAGGAGGCAGAGACAGTCAGATCTCTTGTGAGTTCAAGGTCAGCCTTGTCTACATAGTGAGTTCTAGGGTAGCTGGGGCTACAGGGAGACCCTGTCTCAAAAAAAAAAAAAAAAAAGGCAAAATAATAATAATAATAATAATAACAATAATAATAATAATTCCTCCCCTATAGGGCTCACTACTTGATACACCAACCATCTGTTTTCTTATTTGTCTTTCTCCAGTCATAATCAAGACTATGTAATACATTTTTATTCCTAATATATATAAAGTATTCAAAAGATATTTGCAAAAGGCTTGGATACATTGATAAAGCTATATATAATGGTTTTACCTTAAGAAAGTTTCCATTTTAAACTTTCCAGATTTATTTAAATAAATCCAGGTTCTTCAGAAGGACATTTATATCTGTACAGTGTTCGAAGCCACTGATTTGGTCAAAGGTTCATTTTTCTGCTACCACATCAAAAGAACACCAGGTTATACAAACAAATAGCAGGTAGCTCTAGAAGCAAGTCATTTGGCTATACACAGTCATTTATTTCTTAAACACTTTACTTCTAAATTTCCTCCACACAAGTAGAGGAGGAAAACATGTCTGTTGAGCCAGACAAGTCAGAGCATACTGACCTGAGTTAAGTAGCTCTTCAAGAAA